TGCGGCTTATAAAATTTTGGAGTTGCAACGTGTTGCAACGGGTGACAAATAAGTGTCACATACTTGCTGCGCCATCTTTACTTGAAACTAAATTTGCAAGTTTATCTATATCTGAAATTGAATATACTATATTCAAAAGTAAATCTACTATCAATAAAAATTGACACAATCAAACATTTTTTGTTTGAAATTATATAAGTAAAAAATATAATGAGAATCATGAAATAAAAGCTATTATTTGTAATCTATGTCAAAATACATTCATCAAAAAAATATCAATTTGTTCTTTTAATAAATCATCTTCAAAATCAATATCATATAACTATTATTGTAATAAATGAACAAAAATGATATAAATCATATGGAAAAAATGATCATTGAAAAGCTGAATGTACAAAAATAGTTATTAATTTTGTTTTGAACAATCAATTATCATTTTTCATTGTAAAAAGTAATTGATTTAAAAAACTTTGCAACACTCTTGATCCAAGATATGAAGTATCATTATATCAATATGTTCAAAAAAATATTATAAATCTCTTTAGTAATTCTCAAATACAGATTGCAAAGAAATTAGAAAAATTGGAAACAAAAGTTTCACTTACTGCAGATATCTGGACATCAATTTTGAATCAAGCATATCTTGGTGACTATTTATTATATTGATAACAATTGGAAAATGCAATATTATCTATTGGATTTAATTCATTTTGAACACAACCATACAGGAATTAGAACAAAAGAAAAGTTTCTTCAATTACTTGATGAAATGAATCTAAATGGAAAAATATTAGCACTTATTATTGACAATGATTCAAAAATGATTCTTTGTGGAAAACTTATAATACATAAATTAAATATAAAATGGAATAATTGCGAGTTTCAACACTATCGCTATGCTGCTCATGTTTTAAATATTGCAATAACTCATGGAATGGAATTAAGTGTAGGAATTATTAATAAAGCTAGAATATTTGTAACAAAAATTCAAAATTCAACTATTCTTTGCGATATGCTTAGAAGTTATTGCCAAGTTATTAAGAAAAACTATATCAAACCTGACCTTGAGGTTATTACATGCTGGAATAATGCATATCAAATGCTCGAGAAATTCAAAATAATGCGAAAGGAGCTTAATTTTCTTGTTGCAAGTAATAAAAACTTGGAATCATTATATTTTGATGACACAGAATGGAATGATATAGATTCAATAATTGAATTATTGGAACCAATGTTTAAAGCAACAAAAATATTATCAACATCCACTTATCCAACCATGAGTGATATTCGTTTAACATTCAAAGGAGCCTTACAACATATCGAAAATTATATGAATAATCATACAGAAGAAGAATGCATAATGGCTGAATCTATTCGCAAAAAACTTGCTGATTATTGGAACCCTACAACAATTTCTACTATACTGGATCCATGCTCAAAATCACTTACTTTTACAACTGGAGAAGAAAGCAACATAGCTATTACAAAACTTAAAACACTAATACAACATTATCGTTATTCTTTAGTATTGGTTCCAAAATCAACTACCACATCAAATAAACAAAATGTACTTATTACACAAGAAAAACAACATGCATCATCATTAGATGATGAGTTAACACGTTATTTAGTCTTGCCATTGTGTGATTATAATCCATTAATCTGGTGGAAACAATATGAAGATCAATTTCTAACATTAGCAAAAATAGCACAAAGTTATCTTGCTATTCAAGGCACAAGTTTTCCATGTGAGCAAGCATTTTCAGTTGCTGCACATATCTCACCAGGTTCGAAACCGCCTTTTTCCAATATCAGCTCAAGCTTCTCTGTGTTTGAAAAGTTGAAACAGATACTGGCATACACGAATAAAAATAGATTAATTATTAATAGAAACAGTTATTGATAGATACTATACAAATAGAATTTCATTCACTTGTTTATTTTAAACGTTAACGAATATTATCGTTTACGTTATCGTTAGTTTCATAATTAATTAAGATATATAAATAAATTTGTATGCGTTAATTATTGGTGATGGAATGCTCGATTTTTCCACGCAT